CTCAGGTAAGTCTCGGGGAATCTGCAAAGCTGGCCTAGCCCATTTTAATGCTGTTGATCTTTAGGTCCGGATCTGTATCGCGTGTCGGGAAAATTCGAGCTGCTCGATCGCATCCTACCAAAGCTGAAGTTCACCAACCACAGGGTGCTGCTCTTCTGTCAGATGACCCAGTGCATGACCATCATCGAGGACTATCTCAGCTGGCGCCAGTTTGGCTATCTGCGCCTGGACGGCACCACCAAGGCGGAGGATCGTGGCGAGCTGCTGCGCAAATTCAATGCCAAGGGATCGGACATCTTTGTCTTCTTGCTGTCGACACGCGCCGGTGGCCTGGGTCTTAATTTGCAGACCGCCGACACGGTGGTGATCTTCGATTCCGATTGGAATCCCCATCAGGATCTGCAGGCCCAGGATCGTGCCCATCGCATTGGGCAGCGCAATGAGGTGCGTGTGCTGCGCCTGATGACGGTCAATTCGGTGGAGGAGCGCATCCTGGCCGCGGCCCGGTACAAGCTGAACATGGACGAGAAGGTCATTCAGGCGGGCATGTTCGATCAGAAGTCGACGGGCAGCGAGCGGCAGCAGTTCCTCCAGACGATCCTGCATCAGGACGACAACGAGGAGGAGGAGGAGAACGAGGTGCCCGACGACGAGATGATCAACATGATGATTGCCCGCAGCGAGGAGGAGATCGAGATCTTCAAGCGCATGGATGTCGATCGCAAGAAGGAGGACGATGAAATCCATCCGGGCAGGGAACGTCTCATCGACGAGTCCGAGCTGCCCGACTGGCTGACCAAGGACGATGAGGAAGTGGAACGCTTCCACTATCAGTACGACGAGGACACCATTCTCGGTAAGCATTTCTTTGGGTCCCCTTTCAAGGGAAATTCCCTGAACGACGCTTTTTAAATTTTTAGGTCGCGGCTCGCGCCAACGCAAGGAAGTGGACTACACGGACAGTCTCACCGAGAAGGAGTGGCTGAAGGCCATCGACGAGGGTGCCGAATTCGAGGAGGAGGAGGAAGAGGACGATTCCAAGCGCAAGCGTCGCAAGCGCAAGAACCGCAAGGAGGAATCCGACGACGATTCACTCATTCTCAAGCGTCGCCGACGCCAGAATCTGGACAAGCGCGCCAAGAAGCAGATGCACAAGATCATGAATGCCGTCATCAAGGTCACCCAAGATGGACGCACACTCTCGGAGCCCTTCATGAAGCTGCCGTCGCGGCAGCGGCTGCCCGACTATTACGATATCATCAAGCGGCCAGTGGACATTAAGAAGATCCTGCAGCGCATCGAGGACTGCAAGTACGCGGATCTCAATGAGCTGGAGAAGGACTTTATGCAGCTGTGCCAGAATGCCCAGATCTACAACGAGGAGGCCTCGCTCATCTACCTGGACTCGATTGCTCTGCAGAAGATCTTTGTGGGCGCCAGGCAAAAGGTGTCGGCAGCCGCCGATGCTGCTGCCATTGCCTCCGGTGACAACACGGGCGAGGCGCACGGCAACGGAGGTGGTGGCGGTGGCTCCGACAATTCGGACAACGATGACGATGATGGTGGGGACGATGGCTCCGACGATGAGGAGATTGCCACCACATCGGCGGCGGCAGTCAAAATGAAGCTGAAACTGAACAAATCTCTGGCCAGTGCCCCCTCGACGCCCACACAGCCATCGACGAACGTGAGCAGCGGTGCGGCCACCACATCCAAGAAGCAAACACGTCGCAAGCGGGCGAAGAAGTACACCATATCGGACGATGATGACGATGACATGGACTAGCTGCCGCTGGGTCTGATCTTCAAGCGTTCAAGCGTGGTTCAATCGTTCGATGTCAGCAATTTTTAATTTAGTTTTTAGTTTCGCTTCCGACCCGCACATAATATGGATGCGGGAACTGGTAGAGGGAAGCTTGACTCTACCAATTTTCACATCCATCTTTACCTCCATCCATCTATCTATCTATCTATCTATCCTAGTGTAAGTGTAAGCACACCCCCCCAGGCGTTCAGTTTAAGTCTCCTTTTGTCGCGATTCATTTCATTCTCAATCAGCAGTACTATACATACTATACATATAATAATTACTATAAATAAATGCATAACTAACATATTTCTAGAGCAAGTAATGGAAGTATTCGTCGCACAGATCGTGGACAGAGGTGGCACCAGTGCCGGCACCGCTCTCCTCATCGCCGCTGTCATTACGCCGCACTGGAATCTTGTGGGCATTGGCATACAAGTCCTCCTCATCAATGTTTGCATCGTCAGTTTCTGTAAATGGAAATGGACGTAGATGATTGAGTGAGCAGCTGCTCAGTGGAGTGGAAACGTCACCGCTTACCTCTGTACTTGTGCTTGCGACCGAGACGTAGCTTGGAACTGGACAGCACCGCCTCATCGCCCAGATCCAGCTCGTTCTCCTGCGATCTGCGCGAATACCGCACTGGCGGAGCCAGGAACCAGTAGGAGCGCAGTATGCCCTTCAGTCCTGGCATCTGTCGCAGCTCAGAGAGGATCTGCGGCTGCTTGGACAGAGCTTGAAAGGATCGCAACTGCAGCGTGACCGGCTGCGAGGTGCAGTTAATCAGCCTTATCACCGACTTGGCTGCCGTCGAGCAGACCATGGGATATATGTGGACATCCGGATCCATGGGCACATTGGTGTAGGCCACTCCCAGTGCCCGCCGATTCAGATAGAACTCGAGATGGCCACGCGTTCGATCGAGCTGGACACCGATCAGACAGCCCTGGGAGAACTTTTGGCCGTAGGGCAGCTGCTCGCCGCAATGCTGCACCTTGCCCGAGTAGGAGAAGCCCCAGGACTGGGCATTGGTGCCCAAAGCAGAGACAAAGTGAAACTTGAATTGCCCCAGATTAACGTTCTCCGTGCCTATGCCGAACATCTATGGGAGAAGTGGGAATGGGGTTTTGAGCACTGAGTATTGTTTACATTGAACTTTTGTGCTGCTTATCAGCTTCATAGTTGGGCTGTGGGCTGTCTAGAGATTTCCTCATATGCACTCTTCCTTCATGTCTTATCTTATCAACGCCCTGCCCTGTAATCTGTAATCCTCAGAATGGTGGAGTGGAGTGAGTGAACAACAGAACCCAGCGTGTGGCTGGGTTCTATTTTGAGGCCTTCCTATCAGCGACTTTGACTGACATTCATCTACGCGAGCCGGCCAGCCCAACTAGTTGCCAAGCCAGGGGATCTGATCTGGATCTAAGACTCACCACATCTGTTCCGGCCAGCGCTGTGATGACGCGAATCTCCCAGAAGTGCACCATTCCGGGCTTTAGGGGTTGATCGCCGCGTACTATCGCCGTACCCTGGCTAAAGGTGGGATGAAACACGATGTCCCGGTCACTGATGAGGGCGTCCGACTCCTCTGATGGATGCCACCTCCAAGGGCGGCTATTGCCATCGATATCCTCGCCGCAGCGACACTTGACCAGGTCAGGTATAAGACCCTTGTGGCTCGTCACCTCGATGCTGTTGGGAAAGATGCAGTCGCAAAAGCCGTTCGTACACAAATCCTCCGGACGGTCGGACAACGGCAACATACTCGGTTATTTTATTGATATTGTTTCTGATATTTATGGCACCACTCATGCATTACACGCGTGCGCTTCGTTCTCGAACTGTCTTTCCAGTCTAACCAGCTCGGAGCTATATATATGCTTTTTCTCCCCGTCCGGCCTATATATTGTAAGTGTACAAACAATGAGCTGTAAAATTGTCTTTTGTTTACATTTTTGAGTCAGCTGACGAAATGCGTTAAACATATCGACAGTTGCCTATCGGGACCGTGTGTGAACTGAGAGAGCAGCTGACACCCAGCTCAGGAATATATACTTTACAATTCTTCCTGAAGTGAATGGTGCAAGATGTAGGCAAAAACTGTCTGCAAACCAAAAAGAGAGATGAAATGAGTCGGCACCGGTGGCGTCGCCATCTGCTGCTGCTGATAGTCAGACACATTACCTTGCCAATAAAATATTGGGGAGCCCAGGATATGCCTGGGGAAGAGCGGCCCCAGCCGAAGAAGTGCATTTTGTTAACTTTAAACAAAACCAAGCAGCGGACTGAGCAGTGTAACCGTTCGAATGCAGTGCACACCTCTGGTCACACCACTGGTCGCTCGAAAAAACATCTGTTTGCTAGCAAACAGTTTTCCATATGATACTAGGATTTAAAAAAAAAATTTTTCATGTCATCTAATCTATCAATGTATATTCTACATCTAACATGTAGATTGTACATGTTGCATTTAGATTCTACATCTCCTCCGCTAGGGGTTACTCGCGCACTGAACGCGGCAGAGGGGGCGGAAGAACCAACAGAAAATGAATTTCTTCATTTTGGCTATAATTATGATCCGATCTAGTTCAGAGTCGGCAATCTGGTAGATATGGGAATTCTCTACGATACTGCGTTTTTAGTTTTATCGTATCTTTAAAAATGTGCCTGCCACAGATTTTCGTCCTTTGTGGGGGCGGAAGGGGCGGGGCGAAATTTTGAAATACACTTCTAGCAGTGTGATGTCACATGAGCCTGGAAACCAAATTTGGTTGCCCTAGCTATAGTCTCTGAGATCTAGGCGCTCAACAAGACGGACAGACAGACGGACGGACAGACAGACATGGCTATATCGACTCGGCTATTGATGCTGATAAAGAATATATATGTATACTTTATGCGGTCGGAAACGTTTCCTTCTCTGCGTTACACACATCCACTTTTACCACAAATCTAATATACCCCTTAACTCGTTTTGGAGTACGGGTATAAAAAGGGACCATGACGAACATCTGTGGCATCAAAGAATAGAGAAAACTGACTGGGGGTTTCCTTTCCTTACAGCGCCAACAAGTTACGTCCTCCTCAGGGATCAGGATCAGCCGTTGATTCCGTAATCGGTTTCATTTGAATTCTTCAATCGGAGCAGTTGCATCTGCAGCTCCATTCCCACTTTATCCAATTCAAAGAATTCTTTAACTTATACAAAATGAATTTATTTATTGCTGCTGTTGGTAGGTTTTGCAATATTCTCGGGGCTGGGCTATATGCAGCTGTTAATGCTTCCGCTTCTTGCCTGGTTTCTGTGGCTTTCCACCTTTGGCCGCTGGTTTGCCGGAAAACCTTTTGCCTGTGTAGGTTTTCGTATTGGAGCGGCGTTTCTCCTCCCATTTAATTTGCTTGTCGGAGGATTTGTCCTTGTTGTAGACGGCGTTGCTGGTGCCCTGTCCCTTAACCTTGGCCGTTTCCTCCATCAGGGAGGAGAACTCATCCGCAGCGGCAAACAGCGAGGACATATCTGCAAGGACAAAGGAGAAGGGAAAGAATGACAGATGAACATCGGATCAGACCAAAAGCTGTATCCCTCTTACCGTGGCTCTGTTTGAGGGTCTTGGCAAAGCTGCGTCCATCCACCATATTGACTTCCTCCTTGCGGGATTTCTTCGACTTGGGCGGCGAATCCTCGCCATCATAATCGTCTGGGCTCTCAGGAGCATCGCTGGAATCGCTGTCGTCCTCTGCATCGGAGGCTTGGTCGCCTTCCGAAATGGAACCCTCATCGTCGTCGTCGTCGTCATCGTCTAGGGGCTGCAAGTCAATTGAGCCGGTCTCATCGTCGGACTGATCTCCGCCAGCGCCCGTCATTTCATCATCTTCATTATCTTCTGCCAGATTATCATCGCCCCAGTCGTCGTCGATCTCATCCATGTCCTCTTCTTGCTTGTCAGCGCCCTGCTTCCCCTTCTTGTCCTTCTTTTTGGACTTCTCCGACTGTAACTCGCCGCCAAGCTCCTCAAGGAAGTTCAGTTCATTCTCATCCTCCTCGGCATCGGCGCCCTCTTTGAACTTCTTGCCAAAATACCCATCCAGATACGCCTCAAACTCATCGTCATCCACCTCGCCCTCCTTCAGGTACTCCTCGCCCTGCTCTCCATCAGCGTCCTCATCCTTCTTCACCTCCCTCTGCTTCTTGTTCTGGGCCACAATCTCCGCCTGCCTGCGCTTGTGCTCCAAGAAGTTGAGAATGAACATCTCGTCCTCCGTACAGTTGGCCTTAGTCAGCGACTTGACTGGCTTGCCGCGACCTCCTTGCGCCATATAGCGCTTGTGAGCCACAGCGGCGGTCTCCGCCTGCGACGCCTCCAGCTTCTTGGGATTCTTGAAGGCGAAACGCTCTAGGAAATGCGGCAGTCCAAAATCTCGCAAGGGATCACCATAGTAATCGATTCGTTTCTCTGCAGTAGGAAAAAAAATGGCAATAATTAAAAAATGGAAAAGACAAAAACAAAGAGAATCCCAAAGGGGAATTGTGGCTCACGTTCGAGTATCTGTTCGGCAAAGACCTGCACCGTGGGATGGTAGTGCTGGCGCAGCAGCAGCAGCTCATGACGCAAGGTGTAGGCTGCTCCGGCAAAGGCGGGCACACGATGATACGGATCGTATTTGCAGGAATCGATATTGACCACCTTCGACTTGGCAGCTTCTGTCTTTACCACTGGTGGTGTTGCCAGCTCGTCCGCCTCTTCCTTGACCTCGTCTTCGGCATCGCTGCCAAACCTGTCCAAGTCTCCGTCCTCTGGCACGACGGTCCTTAAGGAACTCACTTCATCGGTGGCTCCAATGCCTCCGATGAGCTCTTGCCGCATGCGCAGCAGCTTGTGCAGAACAATCAGACAGCCGGCGGCAATTTGGGGCGGTGCGTAGAGTGTCAGCTGCAGGAGACGCTTCACAAAGGCCTGGGCCCTGGCCACATGGCTGTCGATGTGGATGGCACGGTGAACAATGTGAAGGAGCTGTGCCGCTGTCTTGCCGCCCACATTGATGAGGTTCAGGTCCAGCAGCTTCACGTACAGGGCATTGTAGAATCGATCCGATTTCTCCGTTTTCACTGTGACCAGCTGCAGCAGGAGGCCAAGGGTCTGCACTGAGACGCGTATGTCGGCCAAGTGGACGAGCCGGTAGATGGTGTCCTGCATCTCTTTGTTCAGCAGCTCCCCATTGCTGCCCTTTGCCGGCTGGGCCTCCGCAATGGCCTTTTGCAGGCACCTCAAAATAGCCTGCATGGTGCGGTTGTTGACGGCTCCCTTCTGCACGAGAACCTTGAACAGGGCAAAGCAAATGTTTACCAACTTGGTGCACACCTCCGGCCGTCCGGATGGCGCGATGCTGGACAGGAAGCAGAGGGCAAAGTGCTGGGCCCGCTCCGAGATATTGTTGCGGAAAAGTAGCTTCTCCGCCTCGGCCACAATGACGCCACACATGTTGGGGTGCCGTTGGGCCACATCGCTCAGGTGGTGCAGCGCCTTGGAGGCTATCTTGGCAATGGGATCGCCCAGCTTGTTCACCAGCATGGTTAGCAGCATTTGTTCCTTCTCTGGAGCGTACGCAAGGAGTCTTGCCGCGGCCACAATGGAAGCATTCTTGTTGTGCTCCTGTCCCGTCTGCAGACCCTGCATCACATTCTTCAGGAACTCGTGGTACTGGTCCTTCAGCTCGTTCTCAAAGTACCAATACGAATAGATGCGCCGCTGCTGCTGCTCGCGCAGCGTGTCGTCCTTCCGCAGCTTCTTCCAGTCTGCTCCGCGTGTGTGTATCGAGAGCAGCTTCCTGTTGGGCGGCAGGAGCACCTCCTGCCACAGGTCCGTGAGCACAGCGATCACATCGTTGCTGGCCTTGTTGGATATCTTGCAGAAGCCAATAAGCGCGGACAAGGCTTCCAGGTTGCCCAGGGGATTGCTAGTCACCAGCAGGGCGCCGGAATTGGCTCGATCCTTGGCTGTGCCCTTGTGGAGGGCCGTTTGCAGCCAGCGGACATCCGAGGGATTGCCTGTGGGAGTAATATCCTAAGTACTGGAGGCAGCAGAGGAAATGGGGAATGACTTACGTCTGTTAAACGTCGTCTTATCCGCCTCGAAGGCATTCTTGCAGAGATTGAACAACTCCAGCTGCTCGTTGTCCTTCATGTCCAGCACCTCCTCGCTGCTGGGGTAGTCCGGATGCTAAGAAGGGAATGGAGCCAAGATTTAGAACATGCTATCCCTGTTATGGACTCAACATACCACTTGGTACCACTTCTTCTGAGACTCCTCCTCCTCGTCAGCCTGCGACTGGTGTTTGCTGCGCTTCTGGAAACTGGCCTTCTGCTCTAGCTCGTCCTCACTGTCTTCATCGGAGTCAGAGGCATCCCTCTCAGCTCCATCTTCATCAAACTTTATACGCTGCGGCTTCTTGGTCCCATCAGCCGCTTCGCCGTCATCGCCAAACTTTATTTTCTGTGGCTTCTTTGCCTTTTCGGAGGCATGCCCGTTCTCCTGTTGGTGGTTCTTCTTCCACGGCTGCTGCTCATCCTCGACTTCGCCGTCATCGCCAAATTTTATCTTCTGAGGTTTCTTACCCCCTTGGAAGCCATGACCGTGCTCCTTTTGGTGGTTTTTCTGCCAAGGTTTCTGCTCCTCGACTCTGCCGTCATCGCCAAACTTAATTCTTTGGGGTTTCTTCACCTGCTCCTGGCCATTGCGCTGTGTCTGTTGCTGCTTTTTTGGTTTCTGTTTGTTTGGCTTGGCCACGGCCTCTCCTGCATCGTCAAATACAATTTTCTTGTTCTTCAATGGCCCGTTTATCTGCACACCTGTAGCCACTGCTGCCGGCATGTTTTTAGTTGGAAATTAGCAAAATGTAACCATTAAATAAAACCAAACCAAAAACAATCCGCACGTGTATTCAACAGTGTGACCTGACTCTCAGAAATATACCGAAATTTGCCTTCTTCATATGGTTCAGTGCAACTCTGCCTGAATCTGCTATCGACTATCGATGGCTCCGTTTCGCTGTCAGCTGCTAGGGTGCGAGCGAGAAGGAAGTTCAGAGGCAAGTCCGTTTCTCGCTGTCGCGCATTTTCAATCGCAAATTAAAAAGGTCCAATCCGTGTTTTATTGCTTCTGCACTGGAAAATAATTCTGAAACAAGCCAATTATCAACTGAAACAGTAATTTCAGCTAACTAAGCAGTTCGTTTGTGAGACCCAGCGGCTAACATTGTTTTGCGTTGTTGCTGCTTTTTCGTGCATTTCAATTTTCTCACGCACACTACGAGCCACACAGGCCACTGCAACAGCAATACAATACAGATAGAAAATTGTGCAAAACGTGTGACGTGACGACAGCGGGGGAGGGAGCTGGGCGTGCGGAAAAGTGGCTGTTGAAAGCGGATTCATTGTTTTTGTGTGTGCTGCTGTGTGTGGCGGCGGGCGCGCTGCTCACTAAATTAATATTAAAGTGTTTTCTTGCTTCATCCGCGGCGGCGATGGCGGCATCAGCGTAGCGTCGTCGTGATGGCTACTTTTCGTATACAAATTCAACAGCGCTGCCAGCTGCTCATTTGGCGAAGAGTGTAAACAAAGCAACGTACGCACACGAACTCATACACACACACAAACACTCAAGAAACAACAACTGCGGCTGTGACGGCGACGTCTGCGTCGACGTCCTTCACCTTGCCTTGCGCCTGCTGCTGCGGCTGCCTGCTTGGCTGGGTCTCGCATATTGAATTTCACATCTCCAACATCATCATCATCGTTCGTCGTGGTCTCTTTTGTCTTGGGCAACCTGTTCCAGTCCAGACAGGAAGTTTAGCAGAGTGCAGCAGCCAACGGAAGCAGCAGAAAACGCTTCGCTGCCGCTCCGCGGCTGCAGCTGTCTCTCGAAATCAACTGAATTTGCACATCTGCAGCTCGGGTAAGTGTCCAGCCATCCTTTATACCCTCGGGAGCGCTGTAACAAATGTTTAGAAATACATACGCAGAACAATAACAATGCTCTAACGCAACTGTGGCGATTTTTTGGGGTGGGATCGCTAACCTAACGAATGACATAGAAAAAACCTGCTCTCAATGGGGCGTTGTTGTTGTCCGTCGCATCCGCTATTCAAATTCAAGTTTCCGCCTGAACAATTACTCAAACTGTCGTCAAGCACTAAGCGTTGTATTCCAAGTATTACCTGGGAATGGCATAAGCATGTAACGCCTGTAATCAGTTGACTCAGTTACTAAAAATACACACATAAAGGTCTTTCCAGCAACAACGATAACTGCTCACGCCTTTCCACATAATCCGTCACTGGAACGATCCCCCTGGGGTTGGTTGTGCAAACTATCTATTTCATTCAATGTATCTGCCTGGCCTGCCTGCTTATCTCTCTATAAATAAACTCCACTTGAGCACGCGTCGGAGTTCAAGCTCTCACCCTATATTCCCCCGTTTATCTTTTGCCCTGGCCCACCACACTCACACACACCCCGCAATTCCCGCGTCATTGACAGCAGCAGCAGCAGCAGCGACATCGACCGCTGAATCGCTCTGTGCATTCCCAATTCGTATCACATGCACTCGCATGCACTCACTGTTTTGGGAGGTGACGCAATGTGGAGCTTTGGCTTTGAATATTTCGTGTGTGACGTCATGTAGGCATACGAGTAAATTATCCAAATAAATTATGCATTTAGGTGGCATTTAATGCACTTTTTAAGCAAAATTAACCGCCACAAACCCCCACCCCCACGCGCCACCTTCTCTATGTAAGGGCATTGAGAATTGATATTTTTGATGATCCAAAACATATTTTGTGGGACTTTCATTACCTTTTCCGGACTAAACCTTATCCCGACGTTTCTGAGATTTTTTTCAAATTGTTATATTTGATTTTCTTTAGAACATGGCCTCTCCTGTCGTCGTCGATGGCGGGCATAGCGAAACGGCCTGGCTGGAGGATCTGCTGCGCGAGGTGCAGCTGGAGCAGTTCCTGGAGAGGATACGCGACGATCTGCAGGTATCGCGCCTGGCCCACTTCGACTATGTACTGTCCGAAGATCTGGAGCGATGTGGCCTGGGCAAGCCCGCCATACGACGCTTGTTGGAGGCGGTGCGCAAAAAGAAGGCCCATCAGTGGCGCAAGAACATCCTGTCCAAGCTAATTGGGGGTGGCAAACAGCCCTCGTCCAAGAAGCAGGCGTCCGCAGCGCGGGACTCGACCCAGGGCAATGGCACGCAGCTCACCTGCCTCATCCATGAGAAGGACATCACCATGGGCCTGAAGCTGGGCGACGGCTCCTTCGGCGTTGTGCGACGCGGCGAATGGAGCGCCTCCCCAGCGGGCAAGGTGATACCGGTGGCCGTCAAGGTGCTAAAGTCGGATAACCTCACACAGCCGGGCATTATCGATGACTTCTTCCGCGAGGTGCAGGCCATGCACGCCCTGGATCACTCCAATCTGGTGCGGCTGTACGGCGTGGTGCTGTCCCAGCCCATGATGATGATCACGGAGCTGGCCGAGCGGGGCTCTCTACTCGACACGCTGCGCAAACAGTGCCGGCACACGGCTCTCACCCACATCTGGAACTGGTCCGTTCAGATAGTGACTGGAATGGCATACCTCGAGCAGAAGCGCTTCCTGCATCGCGATCTCGCCTGTCGCAACGTGCTACTGGCCGCTGGCAACAAGATTAAGATCGGAGACTTTGGCCTGATGCGCGCTTTGCCCCAGGAGGACGACTGCTACGTCATGTCGGAGCACAAGAAGGTCCCATTCCCGTGGTGCGCCCCAGAATCGCTGCGCTTCCGCCAGTTCTCGCATGCCTCGGACACTTGGATGTTCGGCGTGACCCTGTGGGAGATGTTTAGCTTCGGCGAGGATCCCTGGGTGGGCCTGAATGGCTCCCAAATCCTCAGAAAAATAGATCGCGAGGGCGAGCGCCTGCATCAGCCAGATGCGTGTCCGCCGGATGTCTACGCCATGATGCTGCAGTGCTGGGACAAGACCCCTGCAGAGCGTCCCACCTTTGCGGCTCTCAAGTGAGTGAAAAGTGATTCATTGATTCCAGGGCTCCTTGCTAATCCGCGTTGCTCGATTCCTTTGCAGAGAATACTTGGTCAGCATGTCACCGCCGCTGATGCGAGCCGCCCGCGTCTATCACGACTCGAAGGGGCTGAAAATAGAGGCTGGCGATACCATTGCAATCATCGATGGACGGCCCGAGCTGAAGCTGATCAAGGGTCAAAACCAGCGCACATTTGAGATTGGCATCTTCCCAAGAAACTTACTGGAACAGCGTAAGGCGGCATCCAGCGGCGATGTGGTGATGCGTAGCAGTGCCGGCAACGGCTCCCCGTTCGGCTTCTGCTGGGGTGGTGGAGCCGGGGCCATGGCCAACGGAGAGGAGCGTCAGCGAAAGTGCGCCTCTCTGTCGAACCAGAGTCATGCCAAGGAGCGAAAGTCCACGACCAGCAAGCAGTTTGCCTACAACAAGCTAATCAACGATTCGGCCGGACTCCAGCGACGCAATGCGGTGAAGCAAAAGGGGTCTGTAGGGAAGGCTACAGGTGTGACAGTTGGTGGACCACAGCGGCCGCCGCCGCCCCAGTTCCAGCAGGAGGGAATACTCATTGACATTTCGCCGGAGGTGCGACCCTCCGCCGGAGGAGCAGGCGGCGACAGCTCATCCATGCAGATGGACAGCTCCTTCTGCATACTGGATGCCCCTATAGATGTGCCCACATTTTGTGACGTGGAAGGATCGCTGAATGTATCTCCAACATATTTCGATGAGCAGGCGCAATTTGAGTTCGATCCAGCCAACCTGACTGCCTCGCCGGGACGCCTGCAGCCGCCTCCATACCAAATGCCGCCCACTTATTCCAACACGATGGAGTTTGCCCAGAAGCGAGAGCTAAACCAGCAGCAGTCGACGCCAGTCCGGGAGCGGGATCCCTTCGACACCAGCAGCCTGGAGCGAGCAGTGACACTCTACTCGAATCTAAACCAATCTCTTGGGGCGGCGCCATCGCCAGCCCCCATCTATAATAGTCCCTCGGTGAGGAAGAGCCTCTTTGGCGGTTCCAACTCGAATAAGGAGAACATGCCTGCCCTGGAGTCGGCAGCCATGCAGCTGAATCTCAGTAATCTCTCGCTGGAGAGGACCGACCCGATCACCGCAATTGCCAGTCTCCCCATGGAGCCTTTGCCGGCAGCACCAACTCCGGCCAACACGGCTGAGAGCGTACTGTTGGACAAGTCATTTATTGCCGAGCTGGAGAAGGACATGTACAGCAATGGCCAGAACAGGGCCCAGGAGGAGTACCAACGCAACTCCACGCAAGTGTATGCCAACAAGGATATGGTGTACAAACAGAATCTCACGCCCCTCAAGAACGGATGCGCCACTTCGAATCATTCCAGCCCCTCGTCGAACAACTCGCCCAAGCAGAACAACGTGGAGGCAGCTGCCGCCGTCGCATCCACCCAGAGTGTGGTTAATCGCATCTGGTACGAGCAGGTGGCGTCAACGCCTTCGGAGTACTACGCCCAGCCGCCAGCAGAGCAGCCAGAGGAGCAGATATACCAGAACCACCAGCAGCCGCAGCAGCACCAACAGCAGCCGGAGACGAACCATTCGTTCGTGGCCATATCGAATCGCGTGGTGGCGCCCAAGAACAATGTGTACGCCTCTTCCGCCTCGCTCTATGATGCAGTGGCGGCCAGCACTGCTGGATCAACCTACTATGGTCAGGTACCAAATGGGGGCAGTGGGCCTGCGATCTACGATGAGGTCACTCTCGATGATTACCTTCGACCGCATCGACCAGCTCCCCTGGCTCCGCCGCCGCTCTCAGCCCAGCAAATCCACAGGCGGATGGAGAAAATGCGACAGCAGCATCTTCAGGACCTGGAGGGAGCCCACCAGCTATATGCGCCCGTCCCCTCAGACTGTGGACGCGAGCAGGAGAAACTCCAGCAGATGCTGCAGGAGTTGGGCAGCGCGGCCGTCGAACTGGAGGTGCGCAATGCGCTGCGGGCAGCCGGTGGGGATGTGTCCTTGGGCACGCGCCACTACAAGATCGATCAGCTGTCGCGACTGGGCGTGGCCGGCAGGGGTCAATGCGAGCAGGCCCTGCAGCAGAGCAACTGGAGCCTGGAGGTGGCTGCGGAACTGCTGCTGCAGAGTGCTGGCTAGCGCTGCTAGCTGGCCTGTACCAATGTCGCTTAGTTAGTTTAGTTAATGCCTTAGAGCGCAGATCAACAAGCCGTTGCAGGGCGTGTTTTAGTTTTATTTGCTGAACCTGAATGCTGGGAACGATCTCGGCGGAATCTGTGTCTACAATTAGTAACTATGTCTCGAATCTTTGTCAAAATACTCCTAAGTGAATGCACGAAGCAAACACACAATGTCAACGCAACGACTGTACGATATGTTTTATTTTATGTAAGCGATGCGATCATATAAAACGATTTTATAAGTGTTATATTCAACGACTGCATAATCCAAATGCAAAGGCCACTAGAATTATTTACACAACAGGCGATAAAGATACGAAACGAAACGAATCGGATTGGGGCATGAACGTGAATGTATGCAACCATTTGTTTTTAAATCAAAATAAAGTATATCTAATTGTTACAAAACAAAGATGGATTTGAATTTGGCGCCAAGCAAGGGGACGATCAGAGTGCCCTCCCTATAAGAGGTTGTGGTAGCAATTTATTGTTTTTGTAATTGGAACGACCCGGATCGGCCCAAAAATAACGTAGAAAATTACGCTTTTCCGATCATAGGAAGCCTCAGCACGCCCAGATCGGAGACATCGCATTATGCATCGATTAAACTCAAACAAAAAGGCAGTGCAGTGCAATAGTTCCAAAGAAAAGCGTCTATGGCGCTGTAGTTCCAGAAAATTAAACAAATTTAACCATTTGTTGTCCCATCGGAGATTTATTAGGCGTCATGCGGTTTTGGGGATTGGTTAGCGGATCGAAACTTGCTTGGGTGCCGTCTCATTGTGTCCCGTGACCTTGAGCTTGATGTGCAGACGCTGGGACTGAGCCGATCTTCATGATGAACCACTATTTAACGTTATTTTGCAATAGTTTTTTAGTTAAATCTCTAAATCTGGCATATCTCGATCAAGGACGATAAGGAGATGCTCTTTTCGACGAATAAATAAACTTTTTATGTTTTCGAACTGAACGATAAACGACAGATATATTGAGAAGGTGTGAAAGATGTTCAACAGCAGTTCCTGTGAGTCCAGGTTAATGCCGAATGAATGCCAAATAAATTTTCCTAATTGGGTGATCAGCTTTGATATCATTTCTAGGATCGACTTCTCTTGCCGCTGTTCCTAGTTGTCGTTGCTCATAAAGAAACGTCCTATTCCTGAGAATTCTGCCCTGGCTCAAAAGGGTGATGAGGGTGTCCATAGGCGCTGGAGTGAGAATCGGTTAAATGAGGAAATTTGAGGGCGGAGAAACCATCAGAGACTTACGCCTTCATGGTCATGAATCGACCATTGCAGTCCAGACCATCTATGGCCTTGACGTCGTCTATGGCCAGCTCAAAGTCCCAGATCCTCTTGAAGTTGTCCTGCATGTGCTGCTTGCTGACAGATCGCGGTATCACGATAATGCCGGATTGCGTTTGGTAGCGCAGCAGCACCTGGGCTGGGGTCCGTCCATACTTTTCCGCAACGCTCACGACGATCGGATGCTGCAGCAGCGGGTAGCCGCCGGGCTTCTCGTACGGGGTGTGGCCCGATCCCAGGGAACTGTAGGCAGTCACTCCAATGGCGTTGTCGTAGCAGAGCGTTATCAGCGATTTTTGGCGCAGGTACGGGTGACACTCGATCTGGAGCATCACGGGCTTCAGCTTGGCCAGGCCCAGCAGACGATTGATTTGCTTCTCGTTGAAGTTGGATACCCCGATGGCATGGACGAGGCCGCTGTCCACGAGGTCCTCCATCGCCTTCCAAGTGTCTATGTAGTCGATGTCCTCGAAGACTGCCTTGCCGGTGTCGGGACACGTGGGATAGAGATTGTTGCCCGACTTGTAGGCCATGGGCCAGTGCATGAGATACAGATCCAGATAGTCGATGCCCAGATTACGAAGGCTCGTCTCGCAGGCCGCCCGCACCAGCTCCGGCTTGTGAAAAGTGTTCCACAACTTGCTAGTGATGAAGAGTTCGTCTCTACGGAATGGGGAATGGTTTTGCAAGCAGTGTGGTTGAGCAATGGATATTGAGAGTACTTAAAACACGCTTCTCACCGAGTCACAACGCCTTCCTGAATCTTCTCTCGAATAGCAACTCCGACATGTGCCTCGTTCGCGTAGATGTGGGCGCAGTCAAAGTGGCGGTATCCTATGTCAATGGCATCCTTTACGGCCTGTGTAACGACTTCTGGCGGGCTCTGAAAGGAGAACACAACGCGGGAGGTGGGTGGAAATGAAATGCTTAACTGTTGCAGCAGCTTTGAAAGCTCTGTGAGTGCTTTCATTTTGGTTTGGCAGTGACATTGACCATGAAACAAACTTGCAAGCAAACACATTTGATTTCATATTTGTATGGGCATTGCACAATCAATAACCAAAAGAATTATTCTTAATTACTCACACGCCAGGTGCCCAGACCAACCATGGGCATATTTTTGCCGCTGCTCAAAAGGAAACTTGGCGTCGACATGCCGGTCGCTGTGAATCTCTCCTTTCGTGTCGGTTGTGAATATTAATTATAGCGTTCCTATGATGGAAATGATTTAGAGTTTTAACTTATCATTTATCGAAAGAATCAAACATAAAGGCTTGTTAATTTGGCACCAAATGAAATTTGTTCTGACAGCTTTTGCGGGTATATAAGTAAATAGTATATAGTACGTATGTATTATGTTTAAATTTAGAAACTGACTTACAGTCAGTCCATGGCCATTCTTTCGATGGTTTCGGTGAGGGTAACGTATCGGTCGAGGTTTCCAAGTGAAATGGTTGCATTTCAGGTCCTTTTTTAATCGAATTTTTATTTCCTACACAACCGTTGCGTGTGTGCTCCCGTTATTTTTTGAAATAGCTTGTCTTCAAAAAATCTCCTAACGCCTTTATACGATATAACTGCATGCTAGGGACTGCAAACGATGCTATTACTTGAATCACTTGATACGATACCTATCGATTCGCATATATCGATGAATTGATATCATCCCTATGTTTGCCGGCGAAAAATAAAAACAAATAAATAATAGATAAAATAAACAAAAATGTTTGGAACGCTTGCAAACTACCTAACCAGCGTTGGGCGCTGTGCCGAGGCCTGCAGTGGCGAGAGTCTGAGCACGTTTCTCTCACTGCGCGACGTTCACGTACAAAATGACAAGCTGCACGTTGCGCAGCCGGAGAAAATGGTGGAGCGCTACTTGGATGCGCCACTGGACGAGGTGGTCGGCTCCCATCTGAAGGTGATCTATTATCTGGCCCAGAACCCGACGAACTACATGGAGGCCTACACCCAACAGGCTGCCTGTTGCTCGGCGGTGGTGAAGCTACTGCAAATGCTGAAGGACGAGAACTGGTGCCTGCCTGTGATGTACCGCGTGTGTTTGGACCTTCGCTACCTAGCTCAGGCCTGCGAGAAGCATGGCCGCAGCTTCACACCCGGCCAAATACTGGAAAAGGCAGCCGACTGCATGATGGCTTGCTTTCGCGTGTGCGCCGCCGACGGACGCGCCTCCGAGGAGGATACCAAGCGCCTGGGCATGATGAACCTGGTGAACCAGCTGTTCAAGATCTATTTTCGCATCAACAAGCTCCATCTGTGCAAGCCCCTCATTCGAGCCATCGACAACTGCGCGTTCAAGGACACCTTTCCACTGCCCGAGCAGATTACCTACAAGTACTTCGTCGGCCGACGTGCCATGTTCGACTCCAACTACCGCATGGCTGTCGAGGACTTGTCGTATGCCTTCGCCCACTGCCCGGACCGCTTCGGCAGCAACAAGCGTCTGATTCTAATCTACTTGGTACCTGTAAAGATGCTGCTTGGCTATCTGCCCAGCAAGGCCCTGCTCCAGCGTCACGATCTGCTGCTCTTCCACGACCTGGCCCAGGCACTGAAAGCCGGAAACGTCAACAAGTTCGACGAGATCGTACGCGATAACGAGCAGGTGCTGATCCGCAGCGGCATCTACTTGCTGGTTGAGAAGCTCAAGTTCATCGTCTACCGCAATCTGTTCAAGAAAGTGTTTGCCATCCGCCAGACGCACCAACTGGACTTGGGCGACTTTATGACGGCGCTTCAGTTCGTTGGCGTTCCAGACGTGTCCCTTGACGAGACGCACTGCATCATTGCCAATCTCATATACGAGGGAAAAATCAAGGGCTACATATCATATGCCCACAACAAACTGGTTGTGTCCAAGCAGAACCCCTTTCCGCCGTTAATATCAGTGTAATGCATTATTAAGTTAAATTGGTTATGAATAGTAATTATTCTTAAGCGATTGTCGTTTGCTTAAGGGAAAGGAAGCCTTTTAAAATATAGAAAACAACAGCTGATAAAATTTGAATTTAGACTGTTTAAATCTAAAGAATCATTCTAATTGCTCGCTGATAAAAGCTGACTGATATGAAACGAAAAAATTATAATTGGTCGGTGACAAAAATGTTAAATAAAGGGAAAAAATAAAAAATATAATGCAATTAGCTAAAGAGTTTTTTCGCTTCCGTCCGTTCTTCCGCTGGCACACCGAGAAGTGAATACTCTGAATGCTCCAAATCAGAATCCAAGACCACTTAGCCACAATACCCTGCCGCTAAACTCCAAAGCGACACCTGACAAATGTAGTCCGGATATTATATCGAAAAGAATTTTTTGGGTACAAAAAGATAATATTTATTATTGTATATATGTATGTAAAACTAGTAGCTAGTAGTAACTTAAAATAATAGTAAAAATAGTTACAGTACATAGTGCCCAGCATCCAGGTGAAGACGGTTATAGCTGGAAACGATTCCGACATAATTTCTGGACAGAATGCGTTTATCATCACAAATAATTGCTGCATATTGGCGTTCAGGGATTCTCCAAATCTCTCCAACTTGTAGCTGTTGACATGGCCCAAGCTGAACGGTATTCCATTCAGGGCCAATTTGCGACGCACTACATTCTGTATCTGCTTCAGCTCCTGAATATGGACGCCGCGAACATTTTCCGGCGGGTTGATCTCCTCAATGGTTGGAAACTCCTGTTTCCAATCATTAACAGCAGCATATGTCCGTTTGTATAGAGCTGTATAGGCGACATCGCAATGGCGGTATTTGATCGTAATCTTGTTCCTTAAATGAACAATGTCATAAAGGACAGGATAACCTTTTTGTTCGGCGTACAGCATTGCCTCCTCGTAGGCAAGGCACCCATCGCCGACAACGGCCATCAGGAACTGATCCAGATTGCAACACTGCAGAACAGCCAGCACCTTCTTTAGGGCGTGCCGGATCTCAGTACGTGCTAAGCTGGCCCTCTCTGGCCATTTTCGGGAAGTGGTACTCGTCCATGATGATAAAGAACGGCTGCTTTAAGTTCTCCAGGTCTCCATATCGGTTGATGATTTCCTTCTCTAGATTCTGTCCTTGGGATGCCCGTCTGACGTGATCCAGGGACCGGGCCACATCTCTCTCCCTGCCTTGGAAAATGTGCATATTCATAAAGAGTGTCCTCAGTGTGGTTATATCCATGTTGTCCTGTTGTCTTCAACTGATTTACTGAACTATTTTAGTCCACTATATATACAACAAAATCTAGGTGGAATCCGCCTATTTTTGAGATTCCACAAGAAACCCGTACCCCTCATAAAAACCCGTAATATATTATATATAATTGTGATTGACTTTAGGCTGTTGGATGGCCTTATTTTACCGCAGAAATTTACAATTTTACCAAAACTTAGGAATTTCCAAAACCAAATAAAAAACCGTTGCATTACCACGATTTTACCTAAAAAAAAAGTCGTCACATAGGAGTAAATCTCCAAATCATCAACCTATTTGCATTCTAAATTTTTCTCATTTTCTGCCTCCACTTTCCACCGCTAAAATGGCATAAAACCGTTAAATTCAAATAAGAGATACCAGGCGCACAGAAATCAGCAGAAAGTCGCTGCTTTTTCTTAATTCTCGTTTTTTCTTGTTTCTCTTTGTATTTCGTTGCTTTCTCTTTTCGATCTACCTTTTCTCATTTTCTGCCTCCACTTTCCACTGCTCAAATGGCATAAAACCGTTAAATCCAAATATGAGATACCAGATACCAAATATGAGATCAGCAGAAGGTCGCTGCTTTTTTTAAATTCTCGTTTTTTCTTGTTTCTCTTTGTATTTCGTTGCTCTCTCTTTTCGATCTACCTTTTCTCATTTTCTGCCTCCACTTTCCACTGCTCAAATGGCATAAAACCGTTAAATCCAAATATGAGATACCAGGTACCAAATAGAGATCAGCAGAAGGTCGCTGCTTTTTTTAATTCTCGTTTTTTCTTGTTTCTCTTTGTATTTCGTTGCTCTCTCTTTTCGATCTACCTTTTTCTCATTTTCTGCCTCCACTTTCCACCGCTAAAATGGCATAAAACCGTTAAATTCAAATATGAGATACGAGGCGCACAGAAATCAGCAGAAAGTCGCTGCTTTTTCTTAATTCTCGTTTTTTCTTGTTTCTCTTTGTATTTCGTTGCTCTCTCTTTTCGATCTACTTTTTCTCATTTTTTGCCTCCACTTTCCACCGCTGAAATGGCATAAAACCGTTAAATTCAAATATGAGATACCAGGCGCACAGAAATCAGCAGAAGGTCGCTGCTTTTTTTAATTCTCGTTTTTTCTTGTTTCTCTTTGTATTTCGTTGCTCTCTCTTTTCGATCTACTTTTTCTCATTTTCTGCCTCCACTTTCCACTGCTCAAATGGCAGAAAACCGTTAAATTAGAATCTGAGATACCAGGCGCACAGAAATCAGCAGAAAGTCGCTGCTTTTTCTTAATTCTCGTTTTTTCTTGTTTCTCTTTGTATTTCGTTGCTCCCTCTTTTCGATCTACTTTTTCTCATTTTCTGCCTCCACTTTCCACCGCTCAAATGGCAGAAAACCGTTAAATTCAAATATGAGATACCAGGCGCACAGAAATCAGCAGAAGGTCGCTGCTTTTTTTAATTCTCGTTTTTTCTTGTTTCTCTTTGTATTTCGTTGCTCCCTCTTTTCGATCTACTTTTTCTCATTTTCTGCCTCCACTTTCCACCGCTGAAATGGCATAAAACCGTTAAATTCAAATATGAGATACCAGGCGCACAGAAATCAGCAGAAAGTCGCTGCTTTTTCTTAATTCTCGTTTTTTCTTGTTTCTCTTTGTATTTCGTTGCTCTCTCTTTTCGATCTACTTTTTCTCATTTTCTGCCTCCACTTTCCACCGCTAAAATGGCATAAAACCGTTAAATTCAAATAAGAGATACCAGGCGCACAGAAATCAGCAGAAAGTCGCTGCTTTTTCTTAATTCTCGTTTTTTCTTGTTTCTCTTTGTATTTTGTTGCTCCCTCTTTTCGATCTAGTTTTTCTCATTTTCTGCCTCCACTTTCCACCGCTGAAATGGCATAAAACCGTTAAATTCAAATATGAGATACCAGGCGCACAGAAATCAGCAGAAAGTCGCTGCTTTTTCTTAATTCTCGTTTTTTCTTGTTTCTCTTTGTATTTCGTTGCTCCCTCTTTTCGATCTACTTTTTCTCATTTTCTGCCTCCACTTTCCACCGCTAAAATGGCATAAAACCGTTAAATTCAAATATGAGATACCAGGCGCACAGAAATCAGCAGAAGGTCGCTGCTATTTTTTAATTCTCGTTTTTTCTTGTTTCTCTTTGTATTTTGTTGCTCCCTCTTTTCGATCTACTTTTTCTCATTTTCTGCCTCCACTTTCCACCGCTAAAATGGCATAAAACCGTTAAATTCAAATATGAGATACCAGGCGCACAGAAATCAGCAGAAAGTCGCTGCTTTTTCTT